CCCGGGGGGGGGGGGGGGGGGGGGAACGGGAATATACACTCTCGGGTGCTCTCCTTTGAAGGACGGAAATGCCAATCCCCTTCCACTCGGGCAAAGGACGAGCCCTCGAGCCTCTTAGAATTCCTTTGCTCGAGGGCGCGGCTACGACCTTGGCTGATCGAACGGCATGGCCATCGCTAGCGGCCCGGAACACGGATCCGATGGGGAGCAATTCTACTCGGGCGTTTGCCACAGTGAGAAATCTCGTTTGCCCCCGGCCAGCGCTTCGGTGAATCTATGGGAACTACATTATACTGTATTCCTTTTTATTCTTGAGCGAGTGAAATGCAATTTTTATCCGCAGCCGAGGAAGGTCCTTCGAGGGCGAGCTTCTCGCGCCTTTTTTTTTTTCTCCAGCATTCTCAACAAGAGCGAAAAAGACCAGTAAATTCTTCTCTTTCTATGGGCTCTCCGGACTCACTGCACTGAGAATATTTCGCTCATGAAATGAAACACGAAATAAAAGCAATAAATAATTGATACATTTGGCAAAACGATACCACCTCACAGCCCTTCAATCGAAAGCGAATCGAGCCCAAGTGTACCAGGGGACGACGGACTGTCGTTGAACGGGATGACCCCGATCCCAACTCCCCCCTCGTGGGCGCACAGCGACGGCGCATACGTCCACGCGTCCGTCTCCGGGTTGTACATCTCCACGGTGGAGAGGTTGGCCGAGCCGTCGTAGCCCCCCACGGCCCACAGCTTCCCGTAGGTCGCGGCCAGGGCCACCCGGCTCCTCGTCGTCTTCATCGGGGACACGAATCGCCATCTGTCGGATGCAATTGGTCGATCATTAAGGAACGATCGCTCACATACCAGTTACGATCATGCAGAGCTTTTCCAACCTACACAAAAATATAAATCAGTTAGAGAAGCTGACGACCACATTTGAAAACTGACACGAACAAGAAATACGATGGACAGGTATTTACAACTGGACGACTCGCAGGATTCGTCTTTAACCCAGGCAAAACTGAGTTTAAGCAAAATTACTTTCTGTTGTTAAAGCCGAATGCAGATTGAATTATTAACTATCGAAGCAAGTGACATGGGCACTGAAGATAACTGAAATTTAATTTCCAATGCAGATCAACATCTCCCACGAACAGCAAGATAGCATCACGAGGCCGAATGCCATTTACAAGTTCCAACCCCGCCGCACTCGTTAGTAAAAGCAGAACGGACTTTTAATGAAACGGGAAGGATGAAGAGACCAAGGCCAAATGCGACAGAGGAGGCAGGCGGAGGCACGTCAGGGCCATCCGGTGCTGGCGCCTTCCCTATTAGAATCCCCCTTTTTAGCTAATTGGTCGTGTGTCATCTTGACACGACTGTGACTGGGTGGACTCACATGGTTCGTCTTTGATCTGTATTAAACTAGTGTAACTCGACCCGGCCGGAAAACTTGGGCTTCAATTGGATTTAACAAAGCTAAGCTCTGGTAACGTTAAAAAAAGATATTAAGCGGGTCGATTCGGATGAAAATGTACAGATTAAATGGATGAGGAAAAGTTAAATGAAGGAATTTTTTATTTACTTTCGCATTCACCAGCACGCTCAATATCCATTCGATCCTTCTCTTTTTTCGACATCGAAACAAAGTTAAGGAAGACGTTAGGGGCCAAAATAGTTCAAACTACGTTTTTTGTTCCAACTTCGAGTGAGCCTACACTTTCTTTTTTTTACCAAACCCTCGCCCCCATTCATATTACAAACGACGGCAGCACATATAATCAAATTCAAACAAATGCAATATTATTTACAATTGAAGTCGTAAACCCTTCTGCAGCGGCTTCCTGTGCCGCCTTCAGAACCTCCAAAACATTAGAATAGTGCCTCGATGAAAGAGGCGAGATCCTTCAACAGGATGAGGAGGAAAAAGGAAGACGAGATATGAGAGGGAGCAAACGTAAACAAATAACGCGGAAACCCCCCCACATAAATAAAGCAAGATAAACGCCCTCCGACATCGTTGCCTCCATCCACCACGTTCGGCCGCGACACCCTCACCCTTCGTCGGCGTCCCGCAAGCTCAAGGGCACGAGGACGACCGGCACTGGCAGTCGAGCCGACGCAGCCACGAGTGAAAGCGAGCGCGGAACGCGGAAGCAAGCGGAACGAGCAGACCGCAGAAAAGCGAGGAAAAGGAAATAACTCGCGGGAAGGGACCGTTGCGTTCGCCTCCTTTCATCTCGCCTTGGCGAAGGGAAAGGGAAGAAGAAAAGGGGGAGATCACTGGTTCATACGAATTCTAATATAGGTTTTCCCGACGAATATCGGAAAAAGTCCACTCAAATTCGGCAGCGCATGGGAATATCTTGTTTCTGGTAATCGACACGGGTATGAGGAATCGGGAAGGAAAGGGCACAAACGCATAGGGTATTTTCGGCGAATAATCGTTATTTCACTATGCAAAGGAAAACCGACTCCAGCCATCGATACGTTCCCTCCTTAGGCATCCCTTGCGCTGCCGAAATCGAAAGTTACCTGCCGAAATTGAATAGGAGAATCGGAAGAGAGGAGCGCTGCCGAATTTGAATGGACTTTTGCCGAAATCCGTCGGGAAAACCTATATTTACGGAGCTCAACCGCAACTCACCGAGCAAGGCCGAAAAAAGCCCTAACCCTTTCGCTGTTTGCCCGAGCACGGGCTCTGAAACCCGGTCCTTTTAAGTTGTTTCTCTTCTATTTATGGATGTAACTGACATACATTCGGTATTTAAAAAAAAAACAACATCATTTTCCATATAACAGGGCTTCTTTTTGTCGACGTATATGACTTTCGGAAGCATTGAATAACAAAAAAATAAAGTGCGTATCTTTATCGACCCATTCTGTAAAAAAAAAATGGCTTCCTACGCACTTAGTTTTGCGTTAGATGATGATGAAATAAATATAATTTTAAATGCTAATTGTGACATTTACTATGTTAGAAGCGAAAATGAAGGTGATGTAGAAATGGAAGTTGCAGCTGAAACTTAAGATGAAATTTACGATGACAGGAGTGGAGATGCAAGCAGGAATAGCGGCAGGAATAGAGGGCGGAAAAACTGTTAATGTACCTGAGTTTAGCAAGAATCCCCATGCAACTCATTTCTTCACTTTTAACAGGAAATCCTGGGTCGAAACTGAATATTCCAATCTCCCTGTGATAGACGATTCCGAACGAATTTTCACAGATGACCCGGATCAATTTATATGTTCCTCGCAATATATGCTCACGGAAACCTCCTTGAACATGAAATAACAGAAACATGCAGGTATACATTTGCATCAGACCTTATTTTTAACACATCACTAAATGAATAATCAAGGGTAAAACAAACGGAGAAACCCATCTGTATAGGAATTTCGTATATTTATTTTGGCACTGATTTTAATGGGCATTACAAAACAGCCTCTCATTCAAATTCAGACTCTCTGGAAACTGATAAACTTTTCATTATCCCTGCTTTTGGTAAAATCAAGTCTGTCAATGGATTTATACGCATCTCAAAATTCGTGCACTTTTCTGATAACATTCTGGCTGTTCCTGGAAATAAATTTTTAAACACATTTTGGTCTATCATCAATAGTTTCAAGATGGGACAATTTAAACTTAAACCATTGTTTCGCAGAGACACAGCGCAATTCTTATAACACAGTGAAGGTCGCAAGGGCTTCTTTTTTTTCAACAGCGAAAAAGGCTTCAAGTCAACAAAAACACACAAAAGCGAACCAACTTGTTCTCGACGGGGTCGTACATCTCGACGGTGCGCAGGAACGCGGAGCCGTCGTACCCCCCGCACACGTACAGCTTCCCGTTGAGCGCCGCCGCCCCGAGGCGACACCGCTTCGAGAGCATCGACACCACCGGCGTCCACTTCCCCGTCAGCGGGTCGTAGCGCTCCACCTGCGAACACGCATTTGCGAGACCAAAATATAGTTTCGACTTGGAAAGCCCGGTGAACCCGCGCTCATTAATCGCTCAGAAATTACTCCATGGCTCTCTTAACTCTTTCGTGCACAAAAACTTCAGAAAAAAAAAATCCCTTGCAGCATGTTGTTAATTTCAGAAAAAATTTTTTTTTATAAGATACATTTATTTAACATAAATGAACACAATTAACACAATCATTAAGAAATTTTGTGTATGTTACCACCCATTCTGTTGTCAAAATAGGTGGTACATTAATAGCACCACCATGCTTCAATACATTAATACGATGGTGGTAAAATTTCTGTACCACCGACCATGAAAGAGTTTAGCGACATAACGGCGGTCTCCGGAGAGCATAGTCGCTTTGCCTTCCTCCACGGAAAAGGAAAAAAGGAATTCAAAAAGGTGATCCGAGCTCGTAACGAAACGAAACATCCCGGTAACCATGGCAACCGAGGCAACGTCATGAGTTTTCTATGCAGGGAAGTCGTAGCCAATAAGTGACACTTATTATTTTAGGCCTTCGGTCGAGGCACGTACCGACAGCAACATAAAAAAATATTATTAGTAATTAACGTCCCTCACTGAGACACACGTCTCACGGGACCCAAGAGCGCCAGAATCCCTCCCACGCGAGGCGAAACATCCTCAAGAAAAAATTCCATTCCTCACCCACCACCTCCGTCATCATAAATAAAACCTCCACCGAGGAGAAGAGGATACCGAGTCGAAGATGGAGAGCCCATCGTGCCCCCCCAGCACGTAGATGCACCCGTCCAGCGCCACCACCCCCGCCGCCGAGCGGTGCTTGTTCATCGACGAGATCATGCTCCACTTCCCCGTCAGCGGGTCGTAGCACTCCACCGTGTTCAGCGAGGAGATCCCGTCGTACCCGCCGCAGACGTACAGGCGGTTGTTGAGGGACAGGGCTCCCAGGGCGCTGCAATCGTCCATTCGGTCTCGATGTAACAGTGCGTCGTGAAATAAATTTTTAAATAAATATATGTGCACGTTTAAGCAGTCCGAAGCATGATTCTACCGAATGAAATAGATTATTCCAAGAACCCACCCCTTCCTTCCATATTTACAGAAATCCATGCAAAAAAGGTTCCCAAGTCGTATCTTTAGCATCGGTCTCACCTATCCACGCCACCCACAGACGTACCGCGATCGGTTCCCCCAAGCAAGTAGGCTTTGCCTGCACCCACGAATCGCAGAACGAACCCAGTGCAAACCAACGCACCTGCGCTTGCAGTTCATGGAGCTGGCCTTGCTCCACGTCTGCGTGTCGGGATCGAAGATCTCGACCGTGCTGAGCCGCTCGGACCCGTTGTACCCGCCGATGGCGTACATCCGCCTCCCCATCACGGCGACCCCGACCCGGCTCCTCAGCATGTTCATCGCCTTCCCCACCGTCCAGCGACCCAGCACGGGGTCGTACATCTCTACCGTGCTTAAGCTGTCGCCTGCGCGGAGACAAATTCGAGTGTTACGAACAGGTCTTGAGTTAATTTTTGCACATTTTTTCTTGGAATACACCTTAAAGGTATCTTTTGTTCGATTCATACATACTAGTCTCACAAACAGCACGATATGAACATAGAGATTGCCTACACCGAAGAGCACCTGCACTAAATTTTATTCTCAGATAACATGACATTATCCTCTGCATTTTAAGATGTCAATAAATGAGTTTGCATGTCACCTAAAACGCACCATTGCCCGAAGTTACTGAGAGACTGACGGTCAGTCAGGCAAAATTACTTTTATTGTTGATCTCCCTCAACTTAACTGTAGATACACTTTGTATGATGACCATTTTCCTGTTTGGAGAAACTTCCAATACCAGAACTGAATACAATGATTGAAGACTCGTCAAGGCAAACTAATGCAGGGGTAAGGAGTAAGGACCAGAGCAGCCAAACCCACAAAGGGAATCACGGGAGCCATGCGAGAAGTGCATCCTCCTACTTGAATCTGTTTCAGCCAGAAGCAACCTGAGCAGCCAGCCCTTCACTTGAGGGTGATGATGCCTCCAGCTCTATATAATTTTTCAACAGCCATTATGCTTCAGATTTTTCCACATCATTTACGCACCAGTTGCGACGAGTCGAGCCCGGCAGCCGTGATTCTCAGCTCCCGCATTTTAACGAAATATGGAAACTATCGGCCTTTACGTGACGCTGAAACTTGTCCAGATGAGACATTTACAAATATTTAGTGGCACATACGCTCCACATATCTCCTCAAAATGCGACCCACGGCAATAAAGCTTGATTAGTTTCAGAAAGCAAACCTGAATGATGAAATACATGCAATGATATTCACGTTCACTGCCACATCAAGTGGAAGTATTAAAAGAACTTCTCTATGACATTACAAGTATTTTTGCAACCTCCATCACTCAGTAACCCTGCTTAGTCTTGGCTCACATATAAGATGAGAAACTTGAAAGATGAAACAAGAAAAAGATAATGTTTCTAAATGTTTAAATGTTCAAAGCAATGCAGGAATGATTTAAGACTGGCAAACATGACACATTCCATCTCAGATGGCTTAGGTATGCAGCCTTGGGCCCACATCCATGGGCATTTATCAAAATTGAGGAAATACTGGCATACACCATCAATACCAATTACCTCACAATTATTGGCTGATGAAGCAAAATGTTGCATTTTCAAGATTGGGTCAGTATTGATCTCAATATTGGTGGAAGACACAGGAAAAATTTATGACGAACAACAATCCATGCAGGCCCATAAGCCTGAGAAAAGTGCATGAAAAGATGCTACTGTTCTGTTTGACTTAAATACGGGCAAGACTGCACTCAGGTTACTGTAGCCCATTGCGAAACTCATAAAATATGTGTAGGCTAGGGCAAAAATGGCCAAATTATCTGCTATTAATAAACCATAGAGTGAGAGTGATATCTCATGAGTCTGAACTTCCCTCACTTCCACATTGATGTTTGAAGGCCATCATTATGTAAATAATTAATCTGCAGTTTATAGAAGAAAATTGGAGCTCAAGCGATGTTCTTACCAGATTTGGCAAGACCCCCGACGGCATAGATGATCCCGACGACGTCGAAGCAGCACCGCGGGCGAGTGCGGAAACTCTGCAGCAGGTATCGTCTCTCTGGCATCAGGTGGTAGTCTCTTGCCTCGTCCAATAAATCGCTGCAATTTCCAACCTCATCAGTTTCATCATCAGCTATGGCCTAATTGCTTTTAACAGTGCAGTCCAATAACACCTAAGTATACTTGTATTCCCTGTAGTATAACTTGATGAGTCCATCAAATAAAAGAGAAAAAGGACAGAGGGGTTACTTTATAGGTGGGAGGCATGAAACAGATATTACTTGCAAATTAACGCACTGGAAGTGAAATTACCTCTCTCACTGGCCAATACATTTTTTTTCACGAGTACAGGAAATATAAATTGGGACGGGAAATAGATAACTTCAATTCCTGCAGCGTGAAAATTTCAAGTAAAATTCTTTCTTATGTTGTTCCATCACTTCAAGTCACCCCAATAATGGAAATTTGTTTTGGGTAATTTCCCAACTACTCCAAGCTTGGTGCAAAAGTAGGTGATGGCAGTTCAACTTGTTCTGTAAATAATTTAGAAATCATTCTTAACATGTTCATTGCTGGACCAAAATGCCTAAAGGTATACATCATGCTATATGAGTCCCCAGCCATTCATACATCAGTGAGTGTGTTAATTAAAAGAAAGCACTTGCAAGAGGCAATTTTTTCCTTTTTCATATACCTTGCAAGAAAGGGTATAGCTTCACTGTCAGATTTTTCTCTTTTCTCCTCTCATACAAACACAACACTGAATGGAGAGCAAAGGGATTGAAAAATGATTCATGTAGTGAAGAGAGAATTATTACTAAAGCTCTTAAAACTCTTAAAGGACAACACAACTGGTTGAGTTGGGAAAGGTATGAATCAAATTCCTTCAATATGGGAACTCAATCCAGGAATGGAGACTCAATCTTCAACATGCTCTGCTTTGGATATGATTTGTGCAAGAACATAAGTTATACAAATGTATCATTAATTAGGAAAATATTCTATTTTCCAACACTCTACTTGAATGCTGCTTTTCACCAAGAAGGCATACAGGTCTGCATACCGGCACCGATGAGAGGATTTGATGGTCTCCTCGGTCGCCACTCGATCGGCAAGGAACTGGGGTGTGAGAAGTGGTAACCGAACTTTGGTCAACAGATCTGGCAAATACTGAGATCGACTTTCTGGGTCATGCCTCATCCATGTCATGAGGCTCTCGAACACCTTTTTTGTTGCAGAAGATAAGCATTAAATTTATATTAGGTTTGACTCTGTCAAAAGAGACACGAGACAGAGACACTTTGAGTTTGCTCACGGGTTCCTCGGATTCCACATTGAGTTCATCCCTGGAGAAGATCTCGGCAACCTGAGGAAAGGACAGACCCAGAAACTCTTCCCCCTTCACGACATCCACAAAGTGCTTCTGCAGGAAACGGTCTGACGCCTCGACGAGGGAGAAGCAGCCCAAAGTCTCTGCATATGCACGGATCCCCAGAACGTTCCCCGGAGTCAACCTAAGAGATACCAAAGAAAATAAATGGTATCAGCATGAGACCATATTGCTAACTGCAAAATAAGCCATCCAGACAAAATCTCCTGACCTCTTCTGAATGAACTCCCCACATGCAGACACAACACCAGTCAGCTGCAGGAAGGAGGCCCCATGGAGAAGAGATTGGACATTGTTGCTCTTGACAACTACTTTTCCATTGTAGGCATAGTTTATCAAAGCTTCCAAGGTGCTGCAAGAAAGTAACACCCCAAACTTTCAGAAAATGAAAAAAAGAACCATCTAGGATGAAGATACCCTTGATCCAGTGGTACATTTAAGGGTACACATGAGCAAATGGTAAGGTGTTTTTCACTTGACTCAGACACCTGTGCATGGGATGTTCCTCAAGCACAAGTGCTTGGATCAAGTGAAAAACACAATATATGTAACAAATATGTCTTCCACTAGTTTAGTTAAGTTAGGAGGGATGTGCAATAACTCCAAACGTTGATGTAACATCTTGATGGATGTACCTTTTTTCATCAACATGGGAGTAGAATCAGAATTTATCAAAGCTCCATTACCTAGGCATACATAGCAAAGTGTTCCTTGCATAGATGACAGATAACTCTCCCCATCTGTTAGGAATTATGCAACAAGATTCTGATTTTCTCCAGTGTAACAACTGACGACAATTTTCATGGAGACACAAGAGATGGAGTGAGATTCTTTGCAAAGTGCCCAAGATCTCAAAACTTATTCACCTTGGTTCAACTCCCTGAATGTTGATTTCCTTTTTCTTGCTCTCCAGCATGTCAGATGTGAACATCGCTTGGAAATACGGAATTGTGGATGCCAGAACGATCCGATGTGCCGTGAATTGATGACCATCGACCTGGAAAAATGAGTTTTCATAAGGAGTTTCCTTTTCAAGCAAAGGGAGAATAAAAACCCAGATGCTACATAGCCTAGGCCTATGATACACACAGACCAAGATAAACATGCCAAAACCATCTGGGCCTAAAAGCTTGCCATACCTTCAGGGTGATATCACAGAGCTTTCCTTGACGCCGAATTTCCTCCATGATAGGAAACGCAGCGGTAGAAAACTCCTTCTGTTGGTAGACCACCATATCTGGCTCATTTCCCAGCTGCTGGGGGCTCAAGGGAGCAGACATTTCCAAGACCGAAATGTATATATACGGTCTACAAATGAACACGAAACCGGAGCGGAATGCAGAAGAACGTCAACGCAAAATAGCTCCTCCTCCGATCTCCCCCAGAACCTGCGGTAACGGCCAAGGATGAGGCCCCGCTTATTAATTGGAGTCGGAGCAGCTGTTCCCCCCACATCGATATCTTCTCGCGATGCGTGTAGCCATGGCAGCGAGCCCGTGACGTCACCGGAACTTGTGTCGTCTGCTCGCGTATTTCCATTGTAGGTTGTTAGGAACAGGACCTTCTTTGTCCATATCCTGGTACCGTTTTTGTCTGGGTCGGGGGGGTTTTAAATATCAGTTGTAGAATTGGACCAAAATCGCCCAAGACTTTTGCATGTTAGGTTGGAAAATGGTAGAAAACTCCAACGGAAAGCATCTAACGAAATATAGGGTCGACGCGTTTGAAGCACGCAATATCGAATAAGAATATAATTGTGTTCAGGGTGTCCGATAAGTCCCTTTCAGGTGAATTGAAGTCAGGATTTGTGTTGATGGTGGAAGATGAGTTACCAAAGCCCCTTTACATTGTCGAACGAGTGTTTTTAAATGTCATTGTAATTGTAAAAATACATAAATAACTAAATGCATACATTTCATTTGCTGCCCTATTCTAATGGGAAAAGGTTCAGGGGTAAAGGAGTTTTATGGGACACCCTGTAGACAAAAGCCATTCGCTCAATTTTCCTTTCAATTTTAGTTTCAGCACACAAAACCGCCTTCAACCATATCGATGAACACCTGCCTTTGGAGGAAGAAAGTTTAAAATGCAGAGAATGGGGAAGTACCACCAATCACATAACGGCAAACGGACTCTCTGGAGCGAATCGAGCGGAAGGAGGGCTGGAGGACGGAGCACAGCGTAGGCGCCGATCAACGTAACCGACCTTCATATCCGCTTCAGTCTTTTATGCTGGCTACCTATGGAGCTTTCATTACTTTCATTAAGAGTTCAGGGTACTCGTGCAAGCATCCTGCTTCTTTCCTGTGACCTTTTGCTAGCACCCGATTCTCGAAAATGTATTCAGTTCTGCCACCGAATTACACTCCCGATCGATTGGGAGCTTTAGGGATCATCATTGCAGATGTTTCATCTTCTGGCTTTGAGGAGGCATCATAAAATAATTGCTCATTCCATAGTGTAGAAAACCAGCTGTTATTCAGGAATCGAGAAAAATAAATACGACGGACAACTGAAAAAAATTAAAATATAGAACATAAAATCGAACATAAAATTTCAGCACCTTCTCTATCAGGATGCAGACCGCACCCGTACATTGAACGAATATAAAATTTTATTAGAACACTCCTTGAAACGGAATTCACTCTCAGTTTGCTGGAGGATACTGCATCCCTTGACCGAAGGGGCGGGGGTACAACGAGGGGAACGCGAGGACGAGGATCTGGCCTCCGGAGTACGCATCAGAAAATCCTCCTCCGGTCACTTCGAGGTTTCGTCCTGACGAATCTGCGTCTACTTCGAGGCTTCGTCCCGATGAATCTGCGTCTACTTCGAGGCTTCGTCCCTTTGGAAGTCCATTGAATTGTACCATTGAATCTCCTTTGTTTCCTATTGAGTTTGGTCCCGAGGGTTCCTTGTTCGAGTTCCCAGTGACGCAATACGTGCCGTCTGAAATTAGGAGGAAATATGCATCAATGGATCAAGTAGTGAGTGAGTACTCCATTAGAACACCAAGGCACTCAGGAAAGAGTCCAATCGCCAAAGCTGTGGCTTCCCCCTCCCCAAAATTAATCCATACTGTAAAATCATGAAATGACGTGTGATAATGCACATAGATTACAGCCATAATTGAAAGACCATGGAGTATAGACAAGTAGGAACAAAAAAATCTACGACTGTCACTCATTTGAGGCGTAATTTGGTTACATGGAAATGTAACCAAAATGTAGCATACCGCTTTGTTCATGACCTGTGACGGACCCAGAAGCCAACAGGAACTTGTGTCCAGGTTTCATTCATCGATCGGTTTACTTTTCATTCTCAATGTCCCATCTGTCGACATCAGTCGTTCCACCCTCCTTCGCAAAGAGCGCCGACAAAAACAAGCAAACGCGATAGTACAAACTCACCCGGTTTCCATCCAACGACGGTGCCACGTTTCTTGTTGTCCTCCCTCAGCCAGTCCTCCAGAGGCTGGAAGTACTCCCTGAGGGCGGAGGCATCCATGCGACGATTCCCTCCAGTGATGACCGCCATCACATCAGGCCACGGTTTCGAACCCCCCAGCCTCATCATCTCCCTGCGCGGGTCACGTCCCACATCAGTTCATTCATTTTCATATTTCAGAATAGGGCACCAATTTACTCGTTCAGCCTTATTTAACGGAGTCTTTTAGAGTTAATTTCTCCAATATTACTCCAAATCAATCTGGAGGTTTAGAAATATGACATGACTTGACAGTGAAATGCATCAGCTTGGCTCCCGAGGGATTAACATGAATTAACTCACGAATCGACACTACGATACGATAATTACGTAAATGGTCCTCCTTGGCCCGGGGAATAATAGATCATGAAAATAGAAACAGGACTGACTTGAGGAGATTCCCAGCTTCCTTGCTCTGGTAGAAGTCGCATTGGTGAAGGGGTTTCGCCTGAGGATTTTTCGGGTCGTATTCCCCTGCTGCTGTGCAAAGGGCTCGGAAAATTTGGTACTGGATGATGAAACTCACGAAGTTGCTAGAACATAATTATTGCAATTTCCTTTACAGTGCTCATGCTATGTGTCCTCAAACCAAGACCACCCAAAATTTATTCCGACTAGCTCACCCGATGAAAGGGACATCAGCAGGGACATTATACTTTGCACCTGGATCGAAGTCCGCTTCACTTCGAGTGCTCGGAGGCTTCACTCCTTGCAACCCCGACCTAGCAAAAACACCGAGTTGAAACACCGATAAGCCTACCGTAAGCCATTCTCTGTCCGTATATCCAAAATTCACAAAGTTGCTAGAACATTGGGGGGAGTCTGATGATATCGGCCTCCATGACATTTTCATTTAACACTGCATTGCATGACCAGGTCTGTGCGAATAACTTATAGTTCACGTGTCTCAAGTGGATGGGGAATAATCGCGAACTGACCCAAAACAATTCTCGTGCACGTCCTACCTCAGCAAACAGTATAGAAACAGAAAAAAAAAGAACCTGAGTTTCCACCACTCGCAGTTGTAGTGGCTGGAAGAGATATTGCCCCGGAAGACATTCCACCTCCAGAGGTCGACGAGGTATCCGAACGGGAGAAAGGCCACCTTGGACAAGGCCTGAGACATGAGGAAGTTCAAGTCCACCAGCTGGTCCTTCTCCGCTGCCGACTCCGGCAAGAGCCCGATCTTGACCAGGTGCTTCGGGGTCATCACAGACAATTCGATCATGTCCCCAACTGCCTCGGGGAAACCTTCAGGAGAAATTTCAGGGTAACAGTCCCATGCAATTCTATATGACCCGGTTTTATTCTCACCGCTTATTTCTTGAATACGTATGTAGGTTGATGCAGAGTCCGAGTTGTTGATACGTGAAATAGTTTGTTCCTTATGCCTCAAAATATTTGTTAGGCTAACATTTACCTTTAAACTAGACATGAAATGAAATGGTTAATGTGCGTATTACTATGCAGTCTTAATTCCACTGACCTGGATTGGCTCCCTCCCGAAAGGGGACGTGAAGGTCCTTGTACTGAATGTAGTACTGGATATGTCCCATTTCGTGGTGGACCGTCGCAAAGTCTTGCATCGTGATATCCGTGCACATCTTGATTCTGTAATACCGGCATAATCATTTTCCATATTTAAAAAGGGCTTTTCCAGTTTACATTGAAATATATATATAGTACGAATCGAATGTCTATTATCTGAACGATGATTTGTGCCGAAAGTAAAAACCATTACCGAGGAGGTCCTCAAACGTGTTAAGGTCAAACTGTCACCGCATGCAGCTGTGTACAACGCTGAATGTGATGCAGATCGAATATTTACGTTTCCACGGATGGAAGGAGACGTTCCATAGCGGCATTTTATGCCTTGCTGGACGTCATGTCAACTGGACGTCGTGTCCACACACAGACACAGATGCCCACAAAGGCCCTGATCCTAAAAGGATATAGAGACCAAATGACCTCAACGGGAACTATCTTTCCACCATCGCCCTCCCTCTTTCCTATCATCTTTAATCGCCATACAGCACCTGTACATGTTGGCAGAACGAGTTACAAGACAAAATAAGGAAAATCGCAACTTCTACATTACGTGCCTCCCAGCAGCATCCAGCCGCTTAATTTCCACATTCCAAAAAAAGCAAATTGACGGGAGAAAGCAGTAACGACCTGAAATCCTTGGAATCGCAGAAGTCTTGCGAAGAGGCTTCGCAGATCATCTCCTTGTCTTGCGGCATCTCGATGACGGAAAGGTTCCAGAACGTCTCCGGCATAGGACTCAATCCCAGAGACGTGTAAAATTCCTCCGCCTTCCGAAATATCTTCTCTGCAGTGTAATTCTAAGAAATAAAATTTAAACTTTTGAACCCGAGAGAAAAATGGCATCGGGAGGAAAACGGCATCATAATGACCTGTTCACGCAGTGCGGGCGTGATATCGGGGAATAACTTCTTCTTGAAGGGAAGGAAAAGGTCCATAAGATTGCTCCAGTCTTGGGCCCACATATCCCCTGTACAAAATGAAAAAAGTTAGGAAATTTTATGTGACTTTACAGCACCCTGATCCAGCCCCGTTTATTTCACGGCCATATTTGCTATTAATAAACCGCATATACCTTTTTATACATTACATTTCCAGATTCTTTCTGCTAGATTTCTGCTTGCCAAGCTCACTAATTCGATTTCAATCTGTCTTTCACAATTACAGATGTAATGGGACAAGTAGAAGTTGTCTAGACACGTAGAACAGGTGTTCTTTGCCAGTCCCGATCAAAAAGTTGCAGAGAGATCGGCTTTCGAATGGAGACTTCGGCCTCTTACCGAGCAGATGAGCGGGGATGGGTCCATCGACGGAGACCTCCTTCCCGTACTGCTCTCGCAGTTTCCGTCGGGCGTAGGCGTGCAGCTGTTCGTACAACGGCTTGACAGCCTCCCACAGCTCCGCCACATCCTTCTCGAACGTCTCCGTCTCGTAGCGGTTGCGCCAAAGAGCACCCATGTCGGGAAATCCTACCGGTCGATAGAGCACGTTAGCAAGCAAATCGTGATCGGTAGAACATTTCTAGCCGCAGTGCATTCAGAATCGACCCGACCCAGCAAGCTCTAACGCTCCTGTGTCGACCGGCTCAAAAGGACGACACGACCGCCAAAGAGACGTTTCCCTCCCAGATCAATGAATAATTTGATTTTTAAAATAAATGACGCGTCTTACCATTGGCCCGGGCGGCTTCGTTGTCGAGTTGGACGAATTCACTGTACATGCCCCTCATCTTTTTCCCGGTCTTGTCCCGCCATTGTTTCCAGATCCACTGCAACTCCTCCGGGTCGCGAAGCTCTGCCATCTTCATCGTCAGATCTGCAAGCAAACTTCATATCACGTCAAGTTCCACCTCACTCTTCCTCATTCTTTAAATTTGCGACCTGGTTCCAAGGTGAGATTGCAGCGAGACTTGTCCCCGTAATCGCAGATACTCGCCGTGCCGTATATCTCCTCCATTTGGGCCTGCAGATCTCCCAGCTGTAACCATACAGTTCAAGTCCATGCATCAATTCACACAGACTATTAAGGTCTCGAATTACTTTTTCAAATTCATGCTTCAGAAGTCCTCAAGCCGTCTGCTCTAAACCAGTATAAAAACCCACATTTGCAATGCATTGCAAAGTTCATTACACTTGCTCCCTTTTTCTCGACCGCCACGAGCCATTATTACAAAAAATTAGTTTCCTTGCAACCAAACTCACCCCCATAAGCATGTCGTCCGGGAGGGCAGCCGCGCCGAGGACGGAGAGAGACTTGAACAGCCTCTTCAGCTCGGGGTCTCGAAATTCCCGCCACTTGAAGGAGTTCACCTTCTTCCAGGCTTCCTTCTCGAAGCGCGCGTAGGCAAAGTCTGCCTCCATCTGTAAAAGGGCAATTCATATAAAATTCGACGGATCGCATCCAAACCAGGCTGTGAATATTCGGTTATGTAACGAATACTACGGAGTTGCCAAGAAGATATTTCGGAAACCACGAAAGCGTCTGTGCAAATTCGATCAATGGACGACAATCTAGCTGCAATCAAGCAGCTGCAGAACCTATTCATCTGCGCATTAACATTTAACCGAGGCAGAAGCACCCGCAACAATTTAGCTGCATCAGCAACAATTTATTAAAGCCAAAATATTAAATATTCGATGGAAGAAAACTCACAGCAGCCCGACTATTGGCCTCGCTGAGATCGGTGGTGAAAGCCCACTGAGCGAGAGCATTTCTATTGCACCGTTCCGACGCGCGAACGTCGTAATCTTTGATGAAAGCCCAAGCCGCAGCCTCGTCCGATGGATTCGGGCCTTTCTTCTCCTGCCTGTCGACGTTTGCCCCCAGAGCAAGGACGAGACACGAGAGGAAACACGCACTCCGAAACGACATGGCTCCTCTTCCAGTGAGACTTCCACGACGACTGCCTCGTCTGGTTCACCCGCGTCGGGTGAAGGGCAGAAAGACCGAAAGACCTCGCAGAGCGTCCGCCGCGGGACCTCCAATTTTAACTGCGGGACCGTCGGAACACTATACTTCCCGACCGACCGCGGTTCTCGGCGGGAAATCGATGACTGTGCTGAAGTGGGCACCATGCCGTCAGCACTCCAGCCCCCAGCGCGCCGCGACGGCGATACGCAGATAAAACGAACGTGAAAAACGAAAATACGTATTTCCTTCTTTCCTATCCTCTATTTGGAGCCGCTAATTTTGAAGTTCAATCGATTAGAAACGAGCCATTTAATTTCTTAGTTGAATTTCAATCGAGCTCCTTCGTTCTTCCCCGAAATGCGAAACCATCCAATTTCAATCACGACCGATTCCGAGCTCAGTTCGAATATGCTATTCCTCCGTCTGTCTCGATGGAGACCGCCGTTGCCCCAGGCGAAGTTCCGAAGGGAGAAACTCCACAAGGAATGCGAAGTTTCGTCCCAAAATCCCAGATGGTCGATTTAGCTCGTGAAATCTGTTCAAAATCTGCAATCTTGGGTGTGGTTGTCAGATAATTTGCATTCAGTTTCACTTTTTTTTCATGGTAACTCTGGTTTAGGGTGGTTATAATTATTTTTTAATTATTAATATAGGTAACGATTTTGCTAATGAGTCATCGCCGTGACTGCTCCCTTTATGAATAAAAATCGATGGCTATGTCTCGGCGATCTTCGGATCTTCTTCGAGGACTCTGAGACCAGACGTGATGAAACTTTAATCTCTTCTAATTATGCTGCCGAGACGTTTCGCCAGACGACCCGAAATGACCTGCCAATGGCAAGGGACGGCATGAAGAATCTCAAGGCAAACCGGTTACAATCTGAAACTCTCATTGGGTTTCCGAGAGAAAAATTTCCCCTGCGCTTTTTTTGCAATCGGAACGCGGCTGCACGAGTCGATCGAGACGCCAGACAAAAAAAAAATAAAGACAGTTTAACTTCAACTAGACCGCAACCGAAGACAAACGAACCGTTGCCTCGACCTCGGGGCAGCGCGACGCAACCGGTTCCATGAAGCCGACAAGGCCTCGGTCGATCGCCTGCGGGGAACAGTCGAGAAAACTTGTCTAGACGTCCCACGCTTTACACTGGCGATTCGCGCACTCTGTCTCATCCGTTTGTCACTGTTGCAAATGCGTCTCATTAAAAACTTTAGCAAAACCCTCTTGATCTTGAAAGGCTTGACAGAAAATTCATATTTCAATCGCTTCCATGGATTTTATTGAATTCGGAGGAACGGCAGGAAATCTCCTCGCCCATTGAGGACAAGGAGGAGGACGAGGCTCGCTCCATCTCTCCCTCTGCTTCGTTCCGAGGCCCCCTCGTCTGGTTTCTACTTGGAACAATACGTTCCGTCTGGAAAGAAGAAAAATTACGCAGCTGTGATAGGTGAACACTGATGAGAATTTTAGCGCATTCCTTACTGGAACACTGTCCATTCGGCGCAACAGCGTTGTGTCAACATCGAGAAAAGTTTGAAGCGTTGAGACTTAGTTGAAGTTGAGAATTCGACGAAAAATCATCATCGATGAAATTCAAGCTATTCGTAATTAACCCTATTTTCAGCATTTAGTGACTTCTCGTGAATTAGGGAAGTCGTTCAGAGGCTATTAGGAGCATATTCATTTTTCATCGTATTCTCAATGTTGCTTTCTACGTGAAATTATCCCCATCATTTCAGCAAAATATTGGTTCTACGAATCGATGCGAGATGACGCCTAAGCGCGGAATCGGAGATTCTTACCCTGATGCCCTGAAATAAACAGTACCCTGCATTTTTCACACAGTACCCGATCTTTTCCCATTTACAACATGAGGGAAGGTATAGGAAATTCTAGATAGACCTGTTTAAGGAGGTAAGGAGGCAGAATAAGACTCAAAGTACTTCTGGCCAGTGGGTCCGAGGAGACGTGCTCAATATTGCTAAATCTCCACATGGCACATTGCAAAAAAAAGTTTTTTTTTTTGGTAAGTGAACAAAAACATGTCCACGAGATTGTTCTTTATTGCGTAGTGAGTGTTGAGTCATGTAATTATTCTATTTTAACTATAATTCATTAAAGGAAATAAGGCTCTGAGGATCCTTTACACGAGGTGATTGCACTTAAAAGAGTACTACTTGTATCATGCCATTTGGGTACTTTCCGTGGGATCATCAAATCTATATTCACTCTCATCGGCTAATTGAAGCTCTTTCAGACTATGGATAAGGGAGAAGGTTACATAAAGCCCGTACATTGACAATTCAATATAGATAGAACGTTACACAGCAACACCTCTTCAACGTTGAACTGTGTTTCACAGTCAATATTTTGGGAACGTTGAGACATGTCAAGTTGAAAAATCAACCTCTATTGAGTTGCCTCTATCTCTATTGAACCAATATTGAGTCAATATTGCCATCAACCTTTTCTCAAGGTTGACACAACATTGTCGTACCGACAACGTATTGTAACGTATTCGTATTGTAACAAAAGTCAACTGAGTCACGACATTGACATAAACCGATTGCTCCCAATCGCAAGACAAGACCTGACGAACCTCCGGTTTTTGTGGTTCATGTGGAGACAAAGGAGTCTCCAATTCAACCATGAAGGTGCAAAGACAAAAAAAAAATCCTGAAGTTGATACGAATTAGTTTTCGAGGCCATGTCGCATCGCTGGATGTCTTCCAACCAGGCTCCCCAACCGAAACCAGGAGTGAAGATGAACGAATCGATGGAAACCGTCCTCATTTGAGTTGCAGCCCAAGATTGTGCGGAGCCACAACCCCAGTGATGAAATCTTTCCACCTACGCCTACTGCATTACTTTAAGATGCATTCCTTCTTTTCATTTAATGATCGGGTTTTAGAACCTGAGAGTTTGCTTTCGCAGTTCTAGCTTCACTTTCATTTTTCAGTCATTTGCAAAGCTCTATTCGCCAGTCCACAACGTCAATGAAGTGAAACAAAAAGTAAAACAAAGAACAAGCAAGGAACAGAACATGATGGATTCCTACCAAGTTTCCATCCAACGACGGTGCCATGTTTCTTGTTATCCTTCCGCAGCCAGTCCTCCAGAGGCTGGAAGTACTCCCTGAGGGCGGAGGCATCCATGCGGCGATTCCCTCCAGTGATTCCTGCCATTACATCAGGCCACGGTTTCGAAGACCCGACTCTCAGCATCTCCCTGTACAGGTCCAGACAGAACAGGAAAAAAGGTTTATTCCATGAAGGTCCACTTTTGTAAAATCTCATGACGCGAGGACTCGTTCAAGTACATGGCAAGGAAAGGGAGTAACCTGGAAACAATCCACGTCACACCATGTTACAGCGAGTCTGCGTTTCCAGCATATTTCTTTATAATTTCCCAGAGTATATTTTTCAATGCTAAATCTGGACATAACTCAAATATTCTAACTCGACCATCTATCTCTTCGAAGGCGGCTAGGGAAAGTCAAACCTTCGACGCAAAACGAAAATGTAACACTATGGAGGACGTCCTCTTCCTCGCAAATTCGAATATTCCATCAGAGCATGACGTATGAGAGCGAATGTAGGAGAAGACCTCGCTCTTCAACAAACGGTAGTGAATGAAATTTGCCTCATGCACGTGTTTGAAGCTGGTGAATGTGGTCGTCACCCCCCCACATGCAGGCCGACCTCTTACCGTGTCGTACACGTACTTCAAATGCAACAAGGAGCTACGAACACCATTGGAGTTCTACATTGCTTCTCAGAGCAGCAAAGCAGCAGGCAATAAAACAGGACTGACTTGAGGAGGTTCCCGGCTTCCTTGTTTCGGTAGATATCGCATTGATGAAGGGGTTTCGCCATGGGATTTTTTGGGTCATATTCTCCTGCTGCTGTGCACAGAGCTTGGTGGAATTGGAACTGGATGATGTTGCTCACGAAGTACCTGGAAATGGCACGAACAGGAATTAAACTTACCAGAATGAAGTCACCACTTTACAATCTACGATTTTGTCAGACCGTTTCCGCTAAATTGCCATTAAGCAATCATAGTACTAGATTGTAACAAAAGTTTTTGTGCATACAAAGAACGCAACAGTCCGCGAAGCACGATTTTTTCGTCACACATTCCGAACGCTGTAATTTTATTATTATTATTATTATTTTATAAATTTAGCGATTTGTAAAAAAAAAGCAACATATATTGATACGCGGCTTTCGTTCAGAATGTGTGACGAAAAAATCGTGCTGCGCGGACTGTTGCGTTCTTGTATGCACAAAAACTTTCGTTACAACCTAGTAATTAATGTGGTAAACGGTAAATGTTCTCAAGCAAATTGTGACTACTTTGGGTCAGTTCCGAATTGATCACTGAAACAATGAGTTTGTGATTGAAAGACTTCGGTTGTCCGTTTCTGCACAAACTTTGCCTTTCTTTCGAAACGCTCAGGCGCTCCTTCTCGCTCCTCGTCGAAGCAATCCTCTTCAACTTTGAAGAGCAAGCTAAAACGTTGGGGGATGTCTTTCGCATTCGAAGGGCACAGTTGAGAATTACTCATGCTGAAAAATTTCATGGCAATGTTGGAGCGATCATTACTTGAGAGAGGCACTAAACCCCTTAAAGCCTATCCAATGGACTATTCGCACAAAAATTCATCACATGAAGCGACTGATCCCGATTGACCCCTGATTCTGGGATCACGATTAGCAGCTACGGAGCTTTCGCTGTTTGTGGAGTGACAAGGCCACCAAGAACATAAAAAAGGGGGTAAGTTCCGTTTGCACAGCATGCTGCTGGGAAGATTAAGACAGAAGCTGCTCAGGAGTTTTCTATAATAAAAAAATTCAAGTAGATTTTTTAAATTTGAAAAGTATATTTTTGCTACAAATTTAATTCAAAAGGAAAAAATCTATCGGAAAAAAAAATGGAAGGGACCATTTAACATATTGAATGATTGGAAAGTGCTTCTTTCTAAAGCGGGGCCGTTTCTTAAAGCTTTATTCTCCACGTTTCTGAAACGATCTGAATTTAAGACACCTCATTTCCGTAAGAATAAGCAACATAGCAGGCCGTTTGGTTTGTCTATACAGCAGTTTCACAGTCAATGATGAGAAAGTAATACGGTTCTTTTGGACCAGGCCATTTTCTGACCTGGGGGAGACGCCGACATGAAAAACATGGCGGATGAATTACAAACCAAATGTAGCCATACTCATTTTCCCTTCTAAGATTAAGTTATAGATCTATAAAATGAAAGAAAAACCAAGATCAAAACAAAGGATATAATATAACTGATATAATATAACAAATATAACTGGACACTACTTCGATTTTACCACGAAGCTAGACTAAATATATTTAGTTTCATCCAGTAGATAGAACTAACAGCACTAAACAGAAGTTTATAGGTTATTCACACAAGAGATTTCATTGACTTATTCGTATCTCTTCTCCCAATTAAAAAGTTCGGCCATGGGAGCAAATGAGATTCGGGGGAATACAAAATAATGATTCCACCTGACCGTATCACTTCATCGAGTAGCTAAAGAGGATTTTCCCCTGACAAGGCAATCGAATCCTCTTCCTCCTCCCACGAGGAGATCCGATTGAAGGATGATCGTTTGACATTGACTGAACATGTCCTTTGTGAATTGGAAGAGACGAAAATTCAAGGAAATAAAAGCAATATTGTCACCTGCGGCATACTAATTGTGCGCATTGCCTTAAACTTCCGCTGCATGAAGGTATTCTTGCTCAACTCACCAACTTACTCACAACATTTCTGGAATGGATCTGCTTAGGATACCTGATGTAAGGGACACTTGAAGCAACGTGATGTTTGGCGCCTGGATCGAAGTCCACTTCGCTGCGGATGTTCGGGGGCCGAACTCCTTGCACCTCTGACCTAGAGAAGAATTCAGAATGGCTGGAATATTCACGTTCACGCTACGATGAATTCATGAGCTATTTTCTGTCCACTACTATGAGATGGGCATGCGCATGTTAAAATATCACCCTGTCCTTGGTTACTTCAAGGCAGGTGACTTCTTCAATTCTTGCATTGTACCCTCTGATGTTATGCCTTTTGTGTCAAATGTATTCCTTCAGTTACAATCCATAACTTATTTTGTGTATTAGTTTCCTCCCATCCATCCAAGGTCGACTTATTTTCCTTTGGTAGCACACCGGGTGTCCATAGCTGGTGTACTTAATGTGCGTATATATACAGTTAACTACTGGAAAACCGCAAAAAGCGCATAGATTTTCCAAGGCAATTGCTTCAGTTTCATTGAAGGTCAACCAGCACGGCTTTCCTATCGATCCAGTAAGGGCGAATAAGCACTTTTCAGTACCTTTATTTTTGTCGATCAATACTTCTGACGAAATATAGCACACTTGTGTCACGAGTCGAGTAGATTGATATGGAATGTCAAAACCGGTTCAGTACTTTTAGAATAAGATAAATATTAGAAAGCCATCAAAGCCACACCCTCAGTGTTTCCATCAGCGCTAATTCCTTGTGCGTTGGAATACGCTGGATAGTTTCAGAGAAATTGCTGGAAGGTAGGAGGCATCAGTAAACATGAATGTCATTCAAGACGATTTGTCCTGAAGGATGATGTCATTCCATCTCAAATCAGCCAGATGCCAGAGCATGACCCCCTACTATATTGACGGAATTTTTTTATTTGATACCCCTCATGGCCCAAAAGTAAAAATGCAAAATTTTGGCTTCTGGTATGGACCCGTTTTGGTGCAATACACTCGTAATTTGTTCAATTTTGTGATATTTAGAAAAAGGGGAACCTCTTCATGCTCATCTGGGCCGAAAACTTTTCGGCATAAACGAACGCAACAAACACCATTGTTCTTTAAACCTGTGAGAGCCTAACCCGGACCTAGTCCGGCAATCTGCATAGCGTTACAAATAAAATGGAAAGGGTTAAAAAGGTTAGACATTTGAAGTTATTTCATATCTTTCTTTACCTCGAGGCGATAATACATGAAATAAAGCTGTCAAATTTGCCAGTTTTTGGCATATTCAGAAATTTGCAAAACGTCAACATGTTCATGAAACCCTATCATCATGTATGTTTTTGGAATCAGAAAAAAAAGATCTAATGATTTGTGTCCCATTTTGTCCAAAAAAAAACTCAACTTAAGTAGATGTGATGGCTCGAAATATGCAAAGGTAAAAAATTTCGCAAAAAACCACTGTTTTCAATTGCATGTTGCCATTCTCTATGCAGTTCAAAAAACTTGAAAAATTTGCAGAATGTCTACAATTTACTTGAGTAAAAGATTAGAGGAATTTCAAAGCTCATGTTTATTTTTTAACGCATACCACGCATTTTTTTGCAGACCCCACCTCACAATTTCTGCCATTGTCTTAAAGGCCAAATAACCATACGGTTTTCATTACCATTTCTTCAAATTTGTTTTCCCATAACTGCAATCAAAGGAAAATTTTTGGACCTTAAAAAACGACGGAAGAAATTGTGAGATGGTAATAAAATAAAATGCCTGAATAATTTGTTGGGACAAAAATGGGACTTACATCATTAGATCTTTTTCCGCTGATTCCAAAAATAAATATAATGGTAGGGTTTTATTAACATGTTGACGATTAACAAATTTCTGAATATGCAAACTCATTATCACATCGAGGAAAAAATTACATGAAATAACTTCGAAAGTCTAAAGTTTTTAAAGAACAATGGTGTTTGCTGCGTCCGTTTACGCCGAAAAGTTTTCGGCCCATTTGAGCATGAAGATGAACGAAAGGAAGAGAACAAAATTTAACGAATTAATTTGCCGAAAGGGGTCCATACCTGAAGCCAAAATTTTGCATTCTTAGTATTGCCCATGAGGGGTACCGCATAAAATAATGTTCGTCAATATCGTAGGGGGTCATGCTCCAGCCTCTGGCTGAATTGAGATGGAATGACCCTGGAAGGATATAGGCATATTACGGTCCCTGTTATTGTTGCTCACAATCTCGAGAAATCCCAGGACCTTTCTCATCTACTCTGGTATTGTAACATTCCAACCAAAAAAAAATCACAGTGCGGTGGAGTACCACCGCACTTCAGACTTCATCATTAGCTAACTTCTGTCCTCTACTAAGTGAAGACCTCAACATTTGAATAATATATAATCACGTCCAAGGTTGCTTCATCACAGCTGACTCCTTAAATGCTTACATCTTTCCATCTGGAGCATTGACTTTCTCTCAGTTGCAATCCATAACCTATTTTGTGCATCGGTCATTTCCCGTCCTTACTAGGTCTACGTATTTCTCTTGGTAGCACACCAGGTGTCCACGGCCGGTATACTTCATATACTAGCTCACAACTTGAGAATTACGAAAGGCACATCGATTTCCCAAGACAAGTGTTTCAGTTTTCATCGAAATCCAACCACCACGGTTTTTCCTCCAATCCAGTAAGGGAAAATAAGTACTTTCCAGTACCTTTATAGTTGTCGATCAATACTTCTGACAAAACAAAGCACGTGTGTCACGAGTCGAGTACATTGATATGGCTGGTCAAAACCGGCTAAGTATTTTTAGAATGACGTATGACAAACGATACTTTTGCTGGTCTTTGTAGATTAGAATTGGTCTTTTTTAGAAATATAATTTTGAAGACACTTCTCCTCTTCCTTTGGACACTTGCATGAAATGAGTACCCAGACACGCTGGTCTGATCGGAAATTCATTTCATGCAAGGCCCAGTGGAAGATCTTTAATCAGCTACTAATGAGGAGACACATAAATATAGGGAACCTGAGCTTCCACCACTCGCAGTTGTAGTGGCTGGAGGAGATATTGCCCCGGAAGACATTCCACCTCCACACATCGATAAGGTAACCGTACGGGAGAAAGGCCACCTTGGACAAGGCCTGAGACATGAGAAAGTTCAGGTCTACTTCCGAGTCCTCCTTCCGTGCTGACTCCGGCAGGAGCCCGATCTTCACCATGTGCTTCGGGGTCACCACCGATAGCGCAATGACATCCCCCACCGCCTCGTGGAAACCTACAAGCAGCAAACAGGCTTAGGGTCAATCCTCATCACTATCCATGGAATTCCTTGCAATCCAGTCGCACCTCCTCCATGTTCTATCAAGTGCTTGCTTGCCTGAGTCAACTTGCAGGTTGACGCATAGACTATATCGCTGAGTTATTGAGAACAATAATGAATAAAATAATTTTTTTAAACTGATATTTATACCTACTTAAGATACCTACAACAAGATAGTTGAACCATTCCTATAAAATTTATTTGCCTGTTCTGCTTATTCAAATAATTGACAGTTTCAAGACAAGTTCAGATGCTTATTCCTATGCTAATCTTCGTTTAGTCTACCTCTCAGCAATTATATGAATTAAAATCAGTCAGGAATATAACAGTCAGCTTTCCCTCACTGGGACGGATGGCAAAACTGTATTGTCTTTCTTGCCCCTGAAGAGGTATCATCTGTCTTTTTACAACTCCCCTGTTGGTTGTATGACAATACCCCCAAATGTCAAAGGATTGGGAAACCTTAGCGAGAAAGTCTTAGAAAACGTTTTTGGGAAAGAAATGATCCATCACATGCCTGTCCTTCGTGCACTTTTGAAGTTTACATACCGTTAACCCCGAAGGTGCAGTTTGATGGGATATACTTGTTTTTTTTTTTTGTTTGTTTTTTTTTTAAATTGTGGGAAATTAGGATCTTCCCACCGATTGTTGCATCATTAAAAACCACAGGTCTTTTCTTCTTGAAACTATCTCTTTCTTCACCAACTTAAAAGTTTGTTCCATCTAAATGCTGCCAACAACATTTTGTCTTCGCTCAATTTCTTCATGACTACATTTCTGAATTCTACACGAATGCGCGTTACTTGGGATACAAGTTGTATGAGCTGCTGGGGAGGTTCAGTTGTCGTCTGAATCGATCAAACTGGGGGGGCTATGGTATCATGGATAAGAAATTTGAAATTTAGACATTCGACACTTTGCGTAAGGATGAAATGAAGAGGAAGGGTAGTGGGGGCTGTGACAGATACAGAAATTATTCACACGTGGATATACCACATCGGTCATGATAACGATAGGTCTCAGATTGCGTTCGGCGAGAATAAGCAGGAGGAGACAAACAGAGAGAGAGAAATGCTGGGTAATCAATCGATGAGGAATTCTAGTTCTCTTCACACAGGCAGGAGGCAGCAGCCAAATGTAGGAGGATCTCAGGCTTCATCGCCATTTAATTACCAATAAGAGCTTGTTCTTGAATTTAGCTAAGACTTAGTTTCTAGAATTGCATTCAATTCTGGATGTCTGAAAATGAATGTTATCTAATTGTGTGTACATGCAATGCATGATGCTTTTCCTCATGATCGCATGAGGATGAGGAAAGCACCCTAAAGGTCTGCATGAAAGGGTCCCCCCTTATGAACATTAATGGTAAAAACGCACAATAGAAAATTAAGCATATTAATACGGATAAATTTCCACACATGCACGTTAATAAATCAATAAAAATTGGATCTCACCAATGATAAATATTTTGTGAAGTATTCCACTGACCTGGGTTTGCTCCCTTCCGAAAGGCGATGTGCTGGTCTTTGTACTGAATGTAGTACTGAACATGTCCCATCTCGTGATGGACCACCACGAAGTTCTTCATAGTCACGTCCGTGCACTGCTTGATTCTGTTATCAGAATTATTTCGAAGACATGTTTTCAACGTCACTTGAGATGTAGACCTACTTTTCTTTAAGATATGGGTTTGAACGCCTCTTTTCCCTTGCAATATTAAGTCCAATATTTTGACGATTTGGGAATTCACTCTAATCAAATGCATTCAATCTTGGAATGAATGTGGAGTCGACTCAACCGCACCAGGCAAGAAAAACCATGGGCAACATCGAATCTGTTTCTTCGCTTTTTTTCCCGGTAAAGGGCGAAGGAATGCTGATCATTCGATTCCCTGATAATGAGGATGGGAAGTTTCAAATCGTTTCAGATTTATCCAGCTGTCCCCCATTCTGCGTTTTCTTCAAGCAGAGTGTGCAAATGCAGTAAAAAAAAAAAAGTGTCCATTTCATTAAGAAAATGGCGAAGAAAGAAAGGAATAACCTAAAGTCCTTGGAATCGCAGAAGTCCCAGGCGGAAGCATGGCAGATAATTGCCCGATCTTTCGGTTTCTCGATGATGGAACGATTCCAAAATGTCTCCGGCATGGGACTCAATCCCATAGACGTGAAGAATTCCTCTGATACTCGAAACATCTTCTCTGGGGTGTAGTTCTGAGAAATCAAATTGAAATCAAGCATGCAAAAAAAAAAATTTTGACTAAAAAAATAAGTCAAAGAAGGTACCACTACTGATGCAAAAATCCCGTTTCCCCATGAATGAATCCCGTTTCCTCATGAATACGAACGATGGATGTATGTATGCACATCATGGCCCTGCGTTACATTCTACCACGTTATATAAATGGAGGGAATGCAATATAGCGACCTGCTTTCGAAGCGCGGGTGTGATGTCGAGAGACGGTTTCCCCTTGCAGGGTTGGAGGAGGTCCTTGAGGTTGCTCCAATCTTGGGCCCACATATCACCTGGTCGACACGCACACATTGGGAGAAATATTTTTTCAGTGGCCTTGCAAGACACCACTTTTGTAATATGTAATTCATGGATCAAGACGTGAGATTGCTCGCCATAAGAACACATGACAACTCTTCCTCACGAATGTGAAACCTCTTCTTCTTTTGGCTGAGGAAAGAAAGAAAGGTACAGGATCTCCTGACCTTGCAGGACTGCTTGTCGCTATTGTTCATGGGATTTCCTCATACTTTTCGTTTTTAGTTTATATAATAATAATGATTATAAACACCGTTCTGCCATTTCGTTCTGTTTTGTTTCTACTTGAAGAGCTCATTAATAACAAGTAGTTAGCATTGTCTACATGTCTCTCTTACTCCATTGCTGAAAAATAAATTCAAACAACACAAGAGAGAGTGGTAATAGAGAGTGAGAGAGAGTGAGAGATTGACGCCTCAGGAATACCTTCATACATACGATCGGTGAAAAGCCTTGGGAAGGTCACAAGTCCGTCCCCGTACCGAAACAAAGTCTAATGCTCCTGCAACTAGCCATTTTACTGACCCGACTACTTTTAGCCTCTTCAAACCCGAAGTCCAAAACTGAGAAACACACCTGCTCAGATGAGGAATCACGGATGAGGATCTAAAAAGACCAGATGGGGAGACAGAGAAAGCCACAGACAGTGACCGATTTCACCTTTGTCCAGGGCAGAATCGATCTTGATCCCCTTTCAGGGCCGGATTAAGGGGGAGGGCAAAGGGGCCAGTTGCCCCGGGCCCCACTTTCCAGGGGGCCCCCGAAGGAACTTAAAAACATTAAGGGTGGATTTTTGAACAGAGAACTATCTGATAACGCAGCTTTATTTACCGGATTTACAATGCATTTTCTCTGAAATAAAGCTGCATTATCGGATAATGCTCTTTTTAAAAATCCACCCTTAGCATTCATGGAAGTTAAGTAGCGGATTTTACAAATTAAAATTTGCACAGCCAGCGGTTGACTGAATGGCAGTGGTGCCCTACCTCTTCGGAGTGCTATCGCGGGCCTGTTTCACTCAACTCTTATCTGCCGAGTGTAATGGATGGAATGCGTTGGACAGGAAGTCATGAAAGCACTTCTGTACGAAGATTTACAATATTCCGACCATCCTCGATATGAGAAGTAGGAAAATAAAAAAGCCGTGTCGGCCAATCAAATAAAAAAGAAAGGGGGGAGGAATCGAAGAGTCACTGGATCAAGTTCAAATAAATTGAGGAATGACATTAATTGTAATATTTGGTGATGCTGGATTCCTTGCTCTCATCGCGTACGAACGTCTAAGCGAGAGCAAGGGCAAGGAGCACAGGAAAAGCGTGCTTCCATCCATGCCGAACCAATGGAATTAGGGGAGCCCAGAGGGCTCATACCAATGGGAGGATGATTCCCCAGGTGTGCCAAAAACCTTTGACGGGAGTTAATCCGGCGACACTGGCCGGCGAAATGACAAATGACTCATTTCTCGTCTTCTACCGCCCAAATTCCCAGCGCCTCGCCTATACTCATTTTCTCATGTGGTGGGCTAGTGCGAGTACGGGAGGAAACGTGCATAAAGGCAGTGGTCGTTCGCGTTGTGCTATGCTTTGAACATTACTTGCAGCCGAAAACAGTGATGAGTTTCAGAAAATATGAGAGTGGTGCCGCAAAGAGGAAAGCAAAGAAACTTGAACAAGAGGAACTCAGAAAGCACCCGAAAGTGACCTCTTATTTCGCCACGAGTTCACGCAAACAGTCTGAAACACCCCGTGAATACGATGAGGACAGCGTTCTTTCTACAGAAGAAAAGGTGTCTTCCCTGGAAAGTGATGCGAAAAATAAACCGGATACCTCTCGCTCTGCCATGGATGATGAACAGGATGGAAAAGTGCTGGAAGGTGATGCATATGTTCTTAAGGAATCCAAGACGATAGCAGAAGACTTCGAGCCTCAGGCTACTACATGTGATACCAGCCCCTTCTCAGTGCTCGATCAAGACCCAGCAAAGTGACCATCGCATATAAACGAGGCAGTTCGGGACTAGTGCGTCGAGAAAGGCCCCGAATATTTTCAAAACAACGACGGAGAATACACGGCCTCGTGTAGGCACTACAAGAATTCAATGAGAAAACTCACTCCTTCCGCATTTGAGAGAGTTTTAGAGAATGGTGAAGTGCAGCCAAGAAAATGGGTGCTATATTCCAAGTCTACCGGAAATCTTTTTTGTTTCACTTGCAAATTGTTTCGCGCCAGAAACAACAGCATATCTTTCGTCGATGGAGGCTTTTCGAATTGGAAGAGAGCCGAAGAAAAAATGAAAGAACACGAAAACGGAGTTGAGCACAAGAAAGCTACAATGCATTGGCTTCTTCGCAAGGATAAGGCGAACCTTGTGGTAGAGCACATGGAAAGTCAAATGACAAAGGAAATGTCTTACTGGAAAGAGGTTTTGAGGAGGGTTGTAGCAGTAATCAAATTCCTCGCAGAAAGAGGTCTGCCCTTCCGTGGTGACAACGAAACACTAGGATCTCCTCATAACGGAAACTTTATAGGTATCCTAGAGTTGCTGTCGGAGTTCGACCCATTTCTACGAGAACACGTGCAGAGGCATGGCAGTCAAGGTAAGGGACACGTTTCATATATCTCTTGAACAATCTGCGACGAATTCATAGAACTCATGGGGAAAGAATTGCAAAATGCCATCCGAAGTGAGATTCAGAAAGCGAAGTATTATGCCATCTTAGTAGACTCCACCCCTGATTTGTCGAATGTGGATCAGTTATGCATAGTATTTCGCTACTACCTGTATGGAGAGGTTCTGGAGCGTTTTCTTACCTTCGTACCAATACGCAGCCACACGGGAAAATCTTTGAGAGACACAGTGCTCGCTATTCTCGGAGACAATGACATCGATATAAGTAATTGCCGGGGACAAACTTATGACAACGCCAGGAACATGTCAGTCGTTTTCAAAACTGTCATACATCAAAAACAAATTTCGATCTACAATGCTGCAACTTCGCTTGAATTCACTGGCGCTCATGTCCATAGAGCACGACCTCCTAAGGAAAGTTTCATTCGAAGACCTGATTTCCGAATTTGCTGCCGCGAAAGCGAGGAAAATGATGATTTAAGGCAAGAGTTTCCTGTTCTATTTATTTAGCAAACAAATATATTCTCTCTGAGCATTATATGGTAACCAATAAACTGGAATTATAAGTATGCGTAGTTGCCCGTGAATTAGGTCAGGCTTAAATAATTATTTTTGGCTAAGCCTTAGGGGTCCCCAAAAATCCACTTGCCCCGGGCCCCACAACTTCTTAATCCGGCCCTGTCCCCTTTGCATGCAAACTGGCATTCGTCTCAGTATTTCCTTACCATCTTTCAATTTTTAGACTCTTTTCCCATTTGTTTAAACACTCGTTGCAGTGCTAAGTTCTTTTATATTATATTGTCACAACCATTAAAATGAGAGTGCTCTGTTCAAAATTAAAGACAGACAGCAGTTTTGAATGGGAACTTCTGCCTCTTACCGAACAAATGAGCGGGGATGGGTCCATCGGCGGAGACCTTGTCCTCCCCGTACTTTTCACGTAGATTCCGCCTGACGTAGGAGTGAAGCTGTTCGTACAACGGCCGGACCGTCTCCCACATTTCCGCCATTTCCTCCTCGAACGAATCCGTCTCGTACGAATGCCGCCAAATAGCACCCATGTCCGTGAATTCTACCGATCAAATATTGCATTAGGGACTCTTTAGGTCTCATGGAGGGTTGAAAGGATGAACTTTCCACAAACCATGCACAAATAAAATATCGATTAGACTTTTTTTTAAATCAAACGATGTGATCTACAGTCCTTAGAAAATCAGAGATTTGTGATAAATGTCTTCAGTGATCAGGATTTCTGGAGTTCTTGGAGTTTTATCCTGCCTGAAGAGGAAGTAATTAATGTCAGTCTCAAGCAATCTAAGAAATGAACGGCCAGAAAAAAGCGTAAACTTGTATTCTTTCTACTTGATCTCCGTAATGCATTAACGAATTTTGAAACTGAATACACGAGCAAAATTGATAGGATAGAGGCATTTATGGGGAGAGTAAAGGACAAGCGAAAACAAAGGGCGAAAAGTCTTTTTTATTTTTTTATTTTTTAGATTAACTGAAACGGACAATAGTTGACGGGGGACAGGTGGCCCCTAATAACTGAAATCCCGGGTCTTGCCAATTCGAATTAGGACATTGAATGTCGAGACTTACCGTTGATCTTTGCAGCTTCGTTACTGAGATCGATTACTTCCCTGTAGATCTCCCTCATCTTTTTCCCCGTGGCTTCCCTCCATTGTTCCCAGATCCATTGTAACTCGTCGGCGTCGCGAACGCTTGCGATCTTCCGCTTCAGATCTGTAAACCGACTTATCATCTCTTCGACCTGTACCTCTGCATTTCTATTTGCAACATTGCAAAAATTTTCTGTGACCTGGTTCCAGGGTGAGGTCGCAGCGGGACTTGTTATTGTAGTCGCAGATCGTCGCTTTGCTGTAAATCTCCTTCAACTGAGTCTGCAGCTCCCCCAGCTACCAAAATTGGTGAAAGTCCACACGTGAATTCTCATCTTTGCGTTTCTCTTCGGCAATGAGACTCCTCGAAATTCATGCAAAAGACACAGTTTTAACATGATGGGTTTCAGAATCCTCAGAACCCAAATTATCCGCTCTGGTAATGTTAACCACGAGGTTACTGGTGTGACCGCCTGAAAGTGCTTTGACCATGGAAAAGGGAAAAAAAGCAGAAAGGAGATTGTTGCAAGGTCCTGCGAGAAGCGAATGCGTCTTCAAAGGAAAGGCCCTGCTTCATTGCTGATCCATAAAATTGTGCATCTTTTGCGATTCTGTTCAACCGAAGGGAAGGGATGGTGGGGTTTCATTCACTGCGAATAGGGATTTGAAAAAAACTTACAGGTTGTAATTGAAGTTTTAAGGCTTTCAAGGAAGGAAGGGGAGGGAGAACGGGCTCACTTAAAGCGCCTCTTGTCCCTTTGCTGTGATGCAATCAGTTTTTGTGAGGAACAATTTTACGATCGCTCTCGACATTGAGTTTTATTATCCTTGACTTTCACTTGGGATGCGCGGTGCTCAAAACAGAACTGTGGTACCGAAGACACTGTACATCGGTATTAGATTAGGGAGAGCGGAGGGATTGGGCTGGGGGGGAGGGGGAGGGGGAGGGGGGGACCAGACCCATCCGAGCTCGAGAATAAGATGTTCTATACCATTTGCGCTGCTGGAACTAGTTTGATATGTCCATTCAGAATCTTCGATCTTCGATTTGGTGGCAATATATGCGATGCAGATTCAGCATTTTAATATGTTCATTGCCCGCCTCAGAGCGAGAGTGTCTTTTTCCAGGACTGAATATCAATCAATTACACTAATTTAATACGAGGGTAAGTCAGAAAGTAAGGTTTCCTATTTATTTTTCTTCGGGGGGCAGGTAATTACACCGAAGACAATATACAGGAAATGTCCCCACATACGTTTATTATTTACCCACGTACCCATTCGGCACAACAACGTTGTATCAACATTGAGAATAGGTTGAATCAACATTGCCATCAACCTTTTTTCAACGTCGACACAACGTTGTTGTGCCGAATGGGTAGTCGCCAGACTTGTTGAGACATTTGTCGTAACAGTTGATCAGCTTATTGAAGCCCTGCCGATAGATGGACGGGAACCTTACTTTCTGACTTACCCTCATAGAATAAAAATAAAGGACTGCATAAACGATAAAGACCTACGCTGTAATGATTCTACATAAGTCAATCAGTGTGCAGTATGCAGACAACTACCTCTTGCGATCTTGTCCTTTTCAAATAGGAAACAAGTAAAACGAGAAAAAGGGGAGAAAGTAAGATTGTCATCGTGCTCGTCAAAACCCCATTTAATATGGCCTGAAGATTCCCTTTCTCCGTTCCCACATATGCACGTGGACTGTGGTGACTGTTTTCTTGCCTCCAGGCTCAGCGGCTCTTGGCATTTCATTCTTTCCTCTATCGGAATAACGGAATTGCCTCCTACGAAAGGGCGAGCTGGAAAAACGAGAAATGCGAGGGCGTCTACCCTTTCAGTCGGAAACATCGAAATAAAAAAGATAAAAACCGAGGGTCAGCCGGCTTAGACTGGAATGGATCTCACTGCAATTACAGACCGTCTATGCGGGTCACGTTCGTCTCTCTGTCTCCAGGGTGAAGTGGATGCGCGCTGTTGGTTCCGCATTCAGTACTAATATGAAGGAAAGATTCACCCGTGTGAATTTGTCGTCCGGGAGGGCAGCCGTGCCGAGGATGGACAGAAGCTTGAAGAGCCGCTTCAATTCTGGGTCGTGAAATTCTTCCCAGTCGAACGAGGTCACGTTCTTCCACGCTTCCTTCCTGTAGTGAGCAGCTATCAGGTTCTCCGCCAACTGGAGATGGGAAATTCACATGACAATAACATGAATGCACTCATCCAGAAATCAGAGTGACTCAATTCCTAGTTGATGAGCCAATTGACTTCACTGGCACATGCGGTAGATGATGGCGATGAAGACGGAAACGTCCCCAAAACAATAACAGGATATTCCGGATTGCATTAAAATCAGATGGTGTACAGTACATTCGACGGATGAAAGTCCAACTCCGATCATCCTATTGTACTAAACAGGAATTTCTCGTATCCAGAGCAGCTTCAAGACTATTCCCACATGTTCGCAATTGCCCTCATAGATGAATTGTCATGGGCGAAAACAAAGGACAATGGTGAAGGCTAGAGTGATTTCTGTCCTTTCCGTTTTTTAAATTTAAATATCTCATGCTTATTTAAGAACATCCATGTATCTAGGATGCAACACGTGCAAAATGAGATTGCACGTGCCTCATTGTTTTTGACTCATCTTCACAGATTAATACTTCAAGAGGGAGAATATTTCCAAGAGTTGTCAGGACGTTCCTGCCTTCAACGGATGTAAGCAAATTTTATGATAGAACACGCAAATGATAGAACAATATTATACGAGCCTATTCCGCAATGACAATAAGAAAGAAATCTTTTACCTGCTAATTTATTTAAAAGTTAGTCATTGCCTAAGCTCCTCAAAAATTTGACGGAATCGGAGTGAAATAATATTTATATTTCACTTTCACCGCAATAATCTTTAATACTCACATTAGCTTGACGATTGGCCTCGGTGAGGTCAGTGGCGTAGGCCCAATTGGCAAGAGCATTTCGATTGCACCTCTCCGAGCCTTCCACGTCGTAATCCTTCATGAAAGATCGAGCCGCATCCTCGTCCAAGCTTTTCGGACTCAGGGAAGCCGCCAGAGAGCCGACGAGACACAAGAGAAAACTCGGCACTCGCATCGTTCCTCCTCTCGTGCGATCGCCTCACCGACTGAGGAGATTCTCCTCTGCGGGTGGAGAGGGCGACGCGGGACCTTCAACTTGGACTGCGGGTCCTCCCGGTATCCGCGCTTTCATATCGATTTCGTATCCCCGCAGGATATCGGTGACGGGTTTGATGGGCACCTCTATTCCTTCTAGCCCTCCGTCAAGGTCGCGACGAGAAACTGTACACGGTAAAGGATGTGGAGTGGATGTCGTCATCGATGACGTCTCCAGCAGTATTCAAACGCGTGAGAAAGGCGTCCCAAGAAGTGCGTGTGGCTCGTCCAGCTTTTTTCCAATGAACGCGATCGCGATGCAAAAATCCACCATCCAGGAACGTCTTGACAGTCACGTGACATGCGGCGTCGCGTGTTTCTAATCAGTCCTCAGGTGTGGGTACGGCCGATGCCCTGTGCTCTGCTGATGCTGGCGCATCATCTGATCACGATGATGCGCCGCCCGAAGTCTACTCGCTACCTCGGCGAACGAGAACGCATTTTTTGGCTGTTAAAGGAGCTTCACGAGTTTCAAGATCGATTTATGATTATATCTAATCTGAATAAACGGGGACGAATTTCTAACAGTTCTCCATGAAGACAGAAGCAATTTTGGGGGGGGGGGGGGAAATTCAAGTCACGAGTACTTACGAAGAGGTTCCACCATTATGGCGTATGAACAAATCAGAACGAGGATTTACACAACTCAGACGAGAGAAGTAAAGCATTGGAACCCAGGTTAGAAGAGTAGACAAGGTTGGGCTACATCTCAGCGGGTGGGGGAGGGGGAGGAGGAGGGGGAGGGGGAGGTGGTTGGGGTTGGGGTGGGGGTGGGGCTCTAAGGGCAATCACGACACTGGAATACGCTTTCCTTGGCTGACTGATAAAATCTCCTTTCTCTCATCTGTTTCGCCTTCGTTAAAAATGTCACGTTGGGCAGGTTTTTCGTGCCATATTAACTTGCTGTCGCGTACCTCATTTCCATTGCACTTGCACGATTGCATCGTTTGATTGTGGCGCTGCCAGGTTCATGGCGTTCGCAGATGCCGATCGCATGGGCAGTCGCCACCTGTAAAATATGCATATGATGATTTTGGTGCCGGTGGAGAGAAACTTTCGTTCCATCTTTTCGAAGGATTCTGGGTTGGGAAAGACCGAGGTGATACGGTGAAAACGCGCGGAATTCCTGAAGGGGGGGGAAAGTGGAGTCCAAAAAAAAGCCAGTTTTTCGTAGCATCGAAGGAATAAGGGCGAGAATGGAGCAGCCGGGGCAGGTGTATATTCAGTGACGTGAATGGCCCTAGGGCAACCTTATCTACTCTTCTAACCTGGATCGGAAGAAGCTGCTCGCAGAGAAACGTGTCCTCGTGTGACACCACGTGACGAAGACAGAGGCACGTTTTCGGATCAATTCTGATTACGGTTCGGTTTAATCCAACCTCTAAGACTGTCTTTCTCTTCCGTATCTCGAGTATCCGTCTTTTCTTACCGTTCTGAATGGGCAAGAGGGTAATTGGCATCCACTTGAGGAATACAGCCAACTGTGTCTTCTTCTCCCAGCCTTTTCCAATCATTTCTGCTCGCGTTGACACCGGAGGCATCGGTCATGACGAGACAGAGACGACAAGGTCATGGCGATTCACTGATTTCGCCTCGAGCCATGCTCATCGTCCGAAATGACGACTGACTCATGCAGAATTTATCATTTTCGTTCCATTCGCGGCTCCCTGACGCTCGACGGAGTCCACGCTGATCGTCGGTCAGAATGTTTATGTCAATCAAGGAGTGTGATTATTGTCCCCGTAAAAGTGGACACGAAGGAGTTCTAGAGGGCAGGACGAGGACGCGAGCGTCTTGCGACGTTCCTATATGTCAACGAAATGAAGTAATGTGAAAACCAATTTTTCAATGACTTTCCCTTTCTTAAACCCCCACCCCACACCCTTCTTTACGGGACTCACTACCGTTCGCTCTAGGCCTAACCGAATAACTGCCTTCGGATTACGCCAAGGCTTACCTTTTTTCTTCCAAAAGAAACTCAATTCTCGACTTACAATTAGGCCTAGAGAGGTGATTTCGCGGTCTTCGAGATTTCTCGTTGAGTACGTGTAACGTTAGGCCAATCGCAGAACTATTCATACTTTCACGAACCACTTCAGAGAGAGGACGTGTGACGTTTGACCGAATTGAGGCCTGTTTCGCGTTTCGTGAATCATTTCAGTGGGGACGTGGAATATTAGGCCTATCTGGAGTTCCTCGAACCGTCTCGAATAGGTCTGAGGAGGGAATGCCTCCAGGAAGCGTGATAACCATGGTGCGCGCCATTCTGTTAATTCAGGGATGTCCGGATGAGATATCTCCATATAAAAAACGACATCGATCAATCACTGCTAACCATCGTATCATTCTCAGCTCGACTCATGAACTCCGCACAAAGACGTCTCATGCATTAAAATAAAACAAGATCCAGACTCCGATACGAAGTTGAAGTAGTCTTGAATCTGGCGTGATTTCGGCACGGTATCCGGCAACAGTGAGGGATGGTACCGGTGCAAGCTCTCTAAGCCTAATTGAACGATAGCTAATTTCACTTTTTATGGCGAAATGGTGCATCGCTAACAGCAAAATGGGCTTCATTTCGTCATCTACAAGTCAATATTTTTCTTTCCACCGAAAACCCCAGGAGTGGCTACCCAGAGGTAGGGAGAAAAAAAAAACTGAATGAGATTCACATCTTCCAAAAGCGAGATTCAGTGTTCAAGGGCTGTTTCTAGGAGTGGGCGAATCGGGCCATGCGTGGAAGAAAAGCCTTGACTTGGCTTTGATTATTTACAAATATATATTTAAAAAAATATTTCCACCAGTTCCGGCTCCCTGTCGGCTTCCAGGGGATAAGGACCTAATCGCCAAAGTTGCGGTGGTGCTTCGCGTCGCAGTTGTTGTTTTGGTAAGAGGCGGGGGGGCAAGGGGGACTCCATGGGAACTCCTTGCCCTGGGGCGCCAATATCCATAGAAATGGCCCATCAGTGTTCTCCACAACTCCGAGGTGATGGAGCTTCAAATTTGCTGGAGCTATTCTGTGTTGAGAGAGGAAGGAGCATTCCAAATTTCGTTCCTGTTGATGCTCTCAAAGAGGAATACGAGGAGATTGAATTTTGCGACGGGAGGGAGTTGAAGAAATGTAATAGGCGCTATCGCGTTGATGAGACGCATTAATGAATCTTGAAACTCGTGAAGCTCCCTTTCCTTTTACAGGAAAGGGAGTGTTCTCGTCCGTCGAGGTAGCGAGTAGGCTTATTTAATTTTAATTAGATGAGGCGCCCGCATCAGCAAAAGCACAGGGCATCTACCATAACTACACATGAGAACTAATTCTAAATACGCTTCGCCACATGTCAGCCCCAACGAGCCCTACGCACGCCTTGGAAGACCTTTCTCACGCGTTTCATTACTGCTCGAGACATCATCCATTCAACATCCCTTGCCGTGTTCCGTTTCTCGTTGCGGCCTTGACGGAGGGCTAGAAGGAATAGAGGTGCCCATCGAAAGAGATACCGACTTCCCGCGGGGTTACGAAATCGATATGGAAACGCGGAGACCCGAAGGTCCCGCAGTCCAAGTGGAAGGTCCCGCGTCCCCCTCTCCACCCGCGGAGGAGAATCTCCTCAGTCGGTGAGGCGATCGCACGAGAGGAGGAACGATGCGAGTGCCGAGTTTTCTCTTGTGTCTCGTCGGCTCCCTGGCGGCTTCCCTGAGTCCGAAAAGCTTGGACGAAGATGCGGCTCGATCTTTCATGAAGGATTACGACGTGGAAGCCTCGGAGAGATGCAATCGAAATGCTCTTGCCAGTTGGGCCTACGAAAATGGTCTCAACAAGGAAAATAGTCAGGCTGCTGTGAGTATTAATGATTATTGTGGCGAAAATGAAATATAAATGTGATTTCACTCCGATTCTGGAAAATTATGGCGAATGTCCAAGCCTAGGCTATGACTGAATTTTAAATTAATTAGTAAGAGATTTCTTTCTTATTATTGTCACTGCAGAATAGGCTCGTATGATGTTCTATCATTTTCCAAAAGTCTAAATTTGCATACATCCATTGAAGGCAGGAACGTCCTGACAGCTCTCAGAAATATCCTCTCTCTTGAAGTATGGATCTGTGTAAATGAGCCATGCGCAACCTCATGTTGCACGTCCTGTATATATGGATATATTACATAAGCATGAGATAAGAAAAAGATTAAAGGACAGAAACCGCTCTAACCTTCATCATTGTGAACCTCGAGTCTATTATCCGTTTTCGGCATTGTTAATTAATATAGTAATGCTATCAATATCTCGAAGACCTGACAATAATCCAAGCTGGATACGAGAAATTTCTGTCTTATGATATTAGTGCGATAGGATGCGCGGAGCTGGATTTCCAGCATTCGAATATACACCATCCCACATAAATGCGATCCGAAATATCCTATTCCCGTTTTGGGGACGTCTTCGTCTTCATCGTCACCATCTACCGCATGCAGCCATGAAGGCAACCGTTGGTTCAATAGCTAGCAACGGTGGCGCGGGATATGCATCAGCTGTAGTTCTTGGATGGAGACAGGGGAGGCCTGCCTCCTCTGTCTGCTACATATCACTGCTGAACTGCTGCATATCACGAGCCGCTTGTCATAGCAGGTTATAATAGGGTCTGTCCGCGCCAAGTGGTCCTAGGATTTTAGCGGAAAGTTCCCTAAATATGCAAATATTACTTTTGCCGAAGAAGTTCATCTCTTTTCCCAGAAGGCAGGAAAGAAGGAGAATCGCACGTTGAAAAATAAATAATTAGTCATGATTATGATATATTATTCATATCACTCTCATGATACTCATGAATGCGATGAAAATGCAAATCTAGAGAGACTGAATTGGACTACTGGAACAGATGCCAGCATGGGTTCTTCATGCATAACGATAATTTCAAATCAGCTCAGGTGTGAAGAGTAGATGTCAATTGCTCACAATTGTAAGATATCTTTAAAATAAAATTAAAAGATATGTACAGACTTCTCGTTTTAATATACATTTTCAGAACATGTCACATCTGACACGCTCACAAAATAGGCTTGCCTTCTTTTTTAGTGTTGTAATCCTGGGGTGACTCCAGGCTTTCATTTATTCCATAGAATGAACATGAAACTAAATTATTAGGGTCCACTCGATGACAGATATGTGAACATTAGAGCAAGTGACTTTAACATGAGGTTTCACAAAATGTCAGGTCTGACACTTTTCTTTGTACATTGGTACACCTCAAAGAAAAGAGAGAGTGCAAGACTTTGGATTATGAAATTTTCAGTCACAAACTATGATAAACCAAATTGTTGCAGCCTTTATATGCTGATTCGTCATTTATAGTATAGTTAAATACATGTTGTATACTAAACATATTATTCCGGATGTCACGTCTGGCATGGTGGACATACCCACCAGCAGTCACTCTGGATGAGTGCATTTATGTTATTGTCATGCGAATTTCCCTTTCCCAGTCGGGGGAGAACCTGTCCCCTACGCTTTATAGGAAGGAAGCATGGAAGAACGTGACCTCGTTCGACTGGGAAGAATTTCGCGACCCAGAGTTGAAGCGGCTCTTCAAGCTTCTTTCCATCCTCGGCACGGCTGCCCTCCCGGACGAGAAATACACACGGGTGAATCTTTTCTTCACTTTTTACCAATGGGGAGCCCTCCGCGTGCATCAAATGACCTGACATTGAGATATTGGGGGGAATGGACGATGCATGCGATCTCCATGTGTTCGTGCCGAGTTGCATTAGCGCGCTCAAAGCAGCTCATTTGCTTACTTTACTGATAGAATTTCGCATTTCATTAGAAAGAAAGAACCGTTCAAATGACCCATCACCAAGAGCTGGGCTTATCCAAAAAAAAACACCTCTCCCGGTTGTTAAGGCATCCAGAATCGGAATCGCATAGGAATGCATGGGCATCTGTTCTCCCGCAGAAGTATAAACACATCTTTCACGTATTAAGCCTTTCCACTCTATTACAACGGGAAATTATTTTCTTTGGTCCATCGTGGAAAGTTTGGAATAGAAGGATCCTCCCAAGGACCTCCAGGCGGGAATTTCCTGGTTTATTCCATTGCTAGGTTACATCTTTCGAGAAATGTTTTAAGGAATTCAATTGTCTTACTCTGAGACCTATGTGAGAAACCATAGGGAACTGTGTCAAAGGGACAGGGGACTCATTTCAGTAGAATCCGAGAAGTGACTCCCTACTACGACCACTTTGACTCCATCTCACGCCGGTTTTCGGAACCTTCTCAGCCACATTGACTCATCTTTGGAGAATGATTGGCCGAAGATGAGTCAACTTCCCCAGCTATGGCCCAACGATAAACCAACGAAAATTTTTGACTGGGCAAAGCGGACGTCCTCGATGATTGGTCCTCGCTACACAGTTTGAACCCATGCCGTCAAAGTCATTTCGCTGTGGGCTGATCTTTCAATTGCCATTTCCCCTTCCCCCTATGGAAAGCAGACGAGTTGTTGCATGGACAAATGCACTGCCAAGAGAATGATGGCATTGGACTGCTTGTGCATTTTATTTTCCAGGAGTCTCCCAACTGCTCCACGTGTGCTGACACATCGAGCTTCCAAGAACGTGCGGATCTCATTCAATACTATTTACTCGATGGCCCCTTCGAGTCTATTTCGACTGGTTGCTTGATTTCAATGCTAGCGGGGTCGTGTCCCTTGTATACATATTTTTAAAATTAAAGTTTCACTCTCTTGATGGAAGCACATATCTCCACGTCGATGTGCGCGTTGTATTTGAGGAGAACCCAGGGGTTGTACAGAAAGACTCATCGGTTCTCCAACTCATATAGCCCTACTCGGGCTAATCTCCCGTTGTCTCTCCTTCGGTAGCGAAGATAGCCGTCACAGCTTTCTTGTGTCTCCACAAAGTTTTGGAGAACTCCTCCTTGCAGGTTCCATCCTCCATGCAGGTGGCGTTGGTGAAAGAGTTTCGCATGGACGGTGGAGTGCGTTTTTTCGCACTATTTCATGGAGCCTTGGATGCCCCAAGTAGTTTGGAACCTCTGCACAGACGACTCTGTCGTAATCGCCAGCATCCCGGAACTTCTCTCATCATCACCAGCATCTGTGCATTCGGTGCTTCTTGCCCATTGGCCTCCGATCCCAATAACGAAGTGGCCTAGACTCGGGAAAAAAAAAGCCTGATTCTACGAATTGGCACTCGTAGCAATTCCAATTGGAGCACCAGAATTCGCCTCGAATTGTGGTGCTCCGTCACGGGAGCCCAACACGCTACCACCTAGCCTGTGCCCCGTCTCTTTGCGACGTGTCGTAGCTCCTCCAGTTTTAGTTGCAAAACGATGAAAATGAGATCTGTAACGTTCCGAGGTTCCAAGCTTTCCATCGATACCGAATTCGCTCGGAGTACACAAATATTTCAATTTGGTTTTATCAAACTGTCATTGTTTAAACCCACTCTTCGATCGCAGAAACGGAAACTAGGCTTATTGATATGGAATTAAATCGATTTCGGTAGTTGGGAGAGCTGCAGAATCAGATGATAGACATATACAGCATGGCGACGATCTGCGATCACAAGGACAGATCTCGCTGCAACCTCACCTTGGAACCAGGTAGCATAAACATTTTTTTTTCAATCAGTAAAGACACAGCGATGTAGGTCGAAGAGATACGAGGTCGATTTTTTTTTTCCAGATCTGGAGCGGAAGATGGCAAGCGTTCGCGACGCCGATGAGTTGCAATGGATCTGGGAACAATGGAGGGAAGCCACGGGGAAAAAGATGAGGGAGATCTTCAGCGAATTCGTCGACCTCAGCAATGAAGCTGCCAAGGCCAACGGTAATTCTCGACATTCAACGTCTTATTTCGAAATGCCAAGAAATGCTGCCTGCCTGCCTGGCTTATTTCAATTATGGAATGTACGTGGTACAAATAAAAATTACATTTGGGAGACTGTATTTGGAAGCCATTCAGTTCATTTCATGTTTTGGCCATTCTTAATGAATATGGAACTATATAAGCCCCTTGAAGTGTATTTGACACATAAAAGTATGTATGGGAACTATATGAGGAAATATTCAGTCCATATCATGTTTTGACCGTATTTCATATATATTGAACTTTATATGATTATTTACAGGCCCCTTAGGGGTTATCGTGCTTAGCTTGCAATATAGATGGTCCATAAATGCGTCATTTATGGAATATTGTACTACGACCATATTTAGAAACCGTTCATGCCATTTATATTGCTGCGGTACTGCACGTTTCTCTCACTACAGGTAATGGGAATCACAACACACTTAGTACAAGTCAAGATTTATTTGAAAGGGGGCCAGTGCAAAGGGACCGAGCAAAGCAGGGGTTCAGCCGTGTCCGGGGTGGGGCATCGAGGGCGGGCGGCGCGGTTTTATAGACGACGGTCGGGATCACACCAGACGAGAAAATAAGGAAACCGGAGGGATAACCGTGAGTCACTGGATGCGGAGTATTGGTTACCAATTTAATTTTCCAGTACTGGCATTCATTTCTGGACACAGAAGCATAATTACAGAATTATAATGTAAACACGACTCTGGTTCCAGTCTATGGTTATCCGTATGAAATGAAGAGAGAGGTAACTGAGAATTAATTACAGTCAGATCGCCGGTAATGATGACCTCTTCGTCGGGGCGAAGGGTCAGGGGTTAGGCGTGGCACCTAGGCATCTAGGCATCTAGGCTCGTACTGTACGGGCACATTCTCCATAAGCTCACAGAGAGCTCTTCCCTCATATATAGGACAGCAAAAACATGATATACGGACTGAATAACTTTAAAATATATTCCAAATACAGTATTGTTTCTGTATAATTCATATTATATTATATTATATTATATTATATTCAACGCAAAGCTAGCACCATATATATCTGTATATGAGCCATATATAGTTCCACATTCATTAAGAATGGCTAAAACATGATACGGACTGAACTGTTTCCAAACATGGCTAAATTCTGTACCGTACAATCCTATACATACGCCTGCATTGTTCCGTAAGGGGCTCTTCCCAACCAACTAATCGGTTCCTCTTCGAGCAGGGAAAAACACCGAGAACTCCCGAGATTCTGAACAATGGTAACATCAACACTCAGAGAAATCGGTAAATCGAGATTAAATACTTCTCTCAATTTTCGCGTTTCGATTTATTTTTCTCTAGAGAAAGAGAAAAAAATCCATCAACTGGATTTTCGATTTACATCTCTCGCTTCCCGACCGTGCAGGGTCGCCTGAAAGGCGTTCGCAAAACCCAAATGCGTCAATAGCCGAGTCGGAAGGATGTTTTGAGTGGCCTAGCATCGTCTAGACACATGTTAACCTCCGTATTCCACTTCGTCGTGCCGAGGAAGCCCCCCTCCCTCCCCCCTCCCATGAACCCTCGGGCCAATGCATTGACGGCCGAGGGATTCACACGCAACCGCCTGAGTGCATGGCCTCTTCGCCACTTCACCTTCCCTCCGACACGTGCGAGGAGCTCGTGCGTCTCGGGGGGATTCCCATGTAACCGCTTACTTCATTCTTCGTCAATCGGCTCCAAGGCCCTTTCTTGAGGTCCCTTACAACAATTATAGAGCAGAATTTTGATCCAGGGGGGTCGATTTTTATGTTCCCGTAGTACCTTAATTCATTTGTTGAGAGACGTAGCATAGATCAAGGAGACTCCTGGCAATTCTTGCCCATTACATGATGAGAGTGTGGTTCCCCTTGTCAAGTAAATTTGTTCCCGCCCTATTTGAAATATACCGCATTTGGCGATAGGGAAAATAATGTCTTGATTAAGAGATAAGGGTGGGAAGTGGAGAGTTTCGGCTCAATAATATTTCACTTTCCATCCAAACACTCCTCTCGTAGCTCCTCCAAGGAACGTGAGAGGGCGAGATTGTCAATGTGCAGAAAATGCTCCTTTCCCACACTATGAATAGGGTAATTTGGGTGAATATGACCCAACAAAATTAAGCCTGGTCATCACGGCCCATCAAAGCTGAATTTGACTTTCACAATGTTTCTAAAATATTGATTCATATCTCCTTTGTTAAATGCCACCAAGGCGTATGCAAAAAAAAAACATGTTTATTGCGCCTTTGGGTCTTTTTCGAGTAGGTCTCAAGTGGCCACATTAACCTCATAGTTGGGGGGGCCACTTCTGAAAAAAAAAACAAAATGCGTCTATAGCCGAGTCGGAAGGGTGTTTTGAGTGGCTGCGCATCGTCTAGACACGTTAACCTCCGTATTCCACTTCATCGTGCCGAGGAAGCCCCCCTCCCCCCTCCCTCCCTCTCCCATGAACCCTCGGGGCAATGCATTGACAGTCCAGGGATTCACACGCAACCGCCTAAGTGCATGGCCTCTTCGCCACTTCACCTTCCTTCCGATCCGTGCGAGTAGCTCGCGCGTCTCGAAGGGATTCCCGTTTAACCGCTTACTTCATTCTTCGAGTCCAGTTTCATACGGTGTTTGTATTCCGTTTGGTGCGTTGGTGGTGCAACACGTATCGTCGATATGAGATCCGACTGTTTAAGAATACATGGATTCCTATGGAAGAAAAAGAGCTCCTTCGCTAAAAAGCCCCGTTGTCTCCCCTGAATGAGCTTCGTAAATTCGGGCTTTAAGCTCAAAAGCCACTATATTCCCACAATAGGACATATAAGGCAAATTTCGATGTGCCTGAAGTTCATCACGAAATGTTCAATGCCGCAGAAGCGCATAATATACCTGACCTATACACGCAGAATCAAATTAATGCATTTTCGTCGAGAAAAAAAGTTGTCCTCCTTGTGATGCGTTTTTATCGCATCCAACATTTGATGCGATAACCGCATTCAAAATTCGATGCGATAAAGACGCATCACATGCAGGACAGATTTTTTTGCGAGAAAAATGCATCGAACTGAGGCACTGAATTTTCTGTGTGTATCACAAATGTCTGATTTTCTAAGATGGACATCGTTTGATTAAAAAAGTGTGATCGACATTTGATGGTTGGTGGACAGTTCATCCTTTCGACCCTTGCTGAATGAGACCCAAGGGAGAATGGAATATCTGATCTAATGCTTGATTGGTAGAGTTCCCGGACATGGGTGCGATGTGGCGCCATCGCTTCGAGACGGATTCGTTCGAGGAGGAAATGGCGGAAATGTGGGAGACGGTCCGGCCGTTGTACGAACAGCTTCACTCCTACGTCAGGCGGAATCTACGTGAAAAGTACGGAGAGGATAAGGTCTCGGCTGATGGACCCATCCCCGCTCATCTGCTCGGTAAGAGGCTGAAGTTCCCATTCAAAACTGCTGCCTGTCTTTAGCTTCGAACAGAGCACTCTCATTTCACTGGTTGTGACAATGAAATTCAAAAGAACTCAGCTCCGTAGCAAGTGTATTTACAAACGGGAAAAGAGTCGAAAAATTGAAAGATGGTAAGGAAATACTGAGACGAATGCCAGTTTGCATGGAAAGGGGATCGAGATAGATTCCGTTGAGGACCCAGGTGAAATCGGTCACTGTCGGTGGATTTCTCTGTTTTCCCCATCTGCTGGGGCCTTTTCAGATCCTCACCAGCGATTCCTCAACAGGACAGGTGAGTTTCTCTGCTTCGGACTTTGGGTTTGTGAAGGCTAAAAGCAATTGGGCTAGTAAAATGTGGGAGCATTAAGTTTTCCTTCGAAACGTGTCCTGTAGCTTTTCGCTGATCGTGTGCACGAAGGCGTAAGTATCCGTGAGCGTGAATCTTTCACCCATTGTTCCACCCACTCTGTCTAGTTACGTTTTAATTTTTTTTTCATGAATTGAGTAGGAAAGATTTGTAGACAATGCTAACTGCTTGTAATTAATGAGCTTTTCACGCAGAAACAAAAGAGGACGTAATGACAGAGGGGGAATTATTAGTATTTTTCAATTAAATAAACTAACAATGATAAGAATGAGGAAACTCCATAAAAAGATGCGCTTTGCAGACTCGCAAGGTCAGGTTATCCTGCACCTTTCTTGGTTTCCTCAGCCAAAAGAAGAGGTTTCACATTCGCGAGGAACCGCTTCCATGTGTTCTTGATGCGAGCTCTCTCACGTCTTGATCCATCATATACGAATTAGATACCAAAGCAACGTGTTGCAGAATTACAGAATATTTCTCCCAATCTTTGTGTGTCTGGGCTGACTAGGTAACATGTGGGCCCAGGATTGGAGCAACCTCAATGACCTCCTCCAACCTTGCAAGGGGAAACCGTCTCTCGACATCACACCCGCGCTTCGAGAGCAGGTCGTTATACAGCTTTTTTTTTTCCATTTATATAAAGTGTAATAGAATGTAACACAGGACCATGATGTACATAAATATATCCAGCATTTGCATTCTCATTCATGGAAAAGCAAAATTGTGCATATTTTGTATCGATAGTGGTCCCTCCTCTGATGAGGATATTTTAATAGTCAAAATAATTAAAAGAAGTTAGTATTTTTTTTCCTTAGAATTACACGGCAGAGAAGATGTTTCGATTATCAGAGGAATTTTACACGTCTCTGGGATTGAGTCCGATGCCGGAGACATTTTGGAACCTTTCCATCATCGAGAAACCGAAAGACCGGACGATTGTTTGCCATGCTTCCGCCATGGATTTCTGCGATTCCAAGGACTTCAGGTTAATCCTTTCATTCTTCACGGTTTTCCTGATGAAATCAAGAAATGGGGAAATGTGAATAAGATACCTCCCACACCCCAGACAACAAGATTGCGTCAACATTGATAACAGTTTGAAATGTTGAGACAAGGTTGATGCATCCACATTTAAATAGGTTCTACCAATCGGCGCGAGATGGCACCTAAGCGCCGATTTAGCGATTCTCACCCTGGTTTCATTGGAATGAGTCCCCTGTATTTTTCACACAGTACCCGATATTTTTCCTCGTACAACTGAAGGTAAGGCTTTGGAATTCCTAGATAGACCCGTTTTAGGAGTTAAGGTACTATGGGAAGATGAAAATCGACCCCCCTGGATCGAAATTCCGCTTTATAATTGTTGTAAGGGACCTCAAGAAAGGGCCTTGGAGCCGATTGCTGACTCTCTGCGGTAACGCCGGGGGCCATGATTTGAGGTCAAAGGTCACAATTTACATGCATCTCTTTGAAAATGTGTATCTCCCCAACCATTGGCCGCAGAAACGTCAAATTC